CGGAGCCGCGCGCACCCCCCCCCCCGCCCCCCCCTGCCGCGCCGCTTCCGCCCGCGGAGCCCAAGCCGGAGCCCAGCGCCGCCTCGCCCCACCCGGCTGGCCGTGACGTCAGAGCCGGGGAGGGGCGGGGAGCAGCGGGGGGAGGGGGGACCGAGGGGCTGGGATTCTGGAAGACTCCTGGGAGGGGGATGCTACCTTTTCCCCTGAACCTCGGAATCCAAATCTCAAATTTCTTTCTCAACAGGACACCCTCCTCCCATGACGACCTTCTATGACCACAATGGCTAGGACCCAGGAGGGCGCAGAACAAGTTATGGTCCAGGGGTTTGGAAGGCCTTTGGCCTCTGGGTCCTCTTAGCTGTCTGATTTGGTATTTGGAAAAACCTCTTTTCCCCACTTATGGGTCAGGGGTAATGACCGCTCAGACTATCCACGTTGGAGGGTGGGAGTGGAGGTAGGGGTGGGGGCCAGAAGCAACACTGGAGCCTTCTTCGCTGGACCTGGAGCCACAGAGCTCCCTCTAGGATGAAGCCAGCTGTCCCCCTTGTGTTCTTCTCATCTTTCCCAAATATACCACCCTACCGCCTTCCCCCCACCATGATGTCATTTTATTTTCTGGGGAGAAAAAGAGCAGCAGTGAGCTCAGTATGCAAATATAGACAACTTGCAAGGCCACACTTAGCTCTGTCTCCTAGCTCTGCCCCTCTGCCAGGCCTGGTATGACAGCTCTCACTTCCTTTCCACCCCAGGGACTTTCCTACCCCAGATTCTCAGCCAGACTGAAAGGAAGGAAGGAAGAAGTGGGGAAGAATCCATTTTCACCCCTATCTCCAGCCTAAGGAGTCTTGCCTCAACTCCAGCAGAGTCTGACCCTGGGAAGAAGAGATCTGAGCCCCATCAGTGTCTGGGACAGCCCTGGCTTTCCCTCAGTTCCAGCCTGGCAGAGAGCCCTGAGGAAGCCACAGGCAAGCACTCCTTTCTAGAGGCCACAGTGCCCCTAGAAGAGGCTCAGGCTCCTGCTGCTTTAGCTTTCATACTCCTTCTCTTTGCTCTTCATTCTGTTCCCTAGTGTGCCCTGTCACTGCCCCTTCGATGGGAGCACCCTCTTAATTTGCCTTTGTATGTATCTCATCTGTTCTGTGTGGTAGGGCCAAAACGATTTCACTGACCCGTCTTTGAGATTCAAAGAAACTAAATGACTTATCTGTATTAAAGGAAGGGTCCAGGTTTTCAGAAGCAACCAGATACAGGGGACTTGGGTTTCATGCTGCCTCTACTCCTTTCTCAGGCAGGTTATCCTTCTGAGCCTGAGTGTCCTTGTTGATAAAATGGGGACACCGATGTCTATCTTACAGAGTTCTTCTGAGATTTAGAAATTGCCAGTCTCTCGGGGCTGGCACATTTGGGGGCTTAAAACGTGGGAGCTTTTGCTTAGTCCGGGCCTTCCACTGACCTATTGTATTGACCCAATGATCATGCTATGTATTAAACAAGTTGGATGAATATACATGGTTTCTACTCTACACTTCTGCCACCTTCTCCAGGAATACTTCCGGGATTTGTCTGTGGGGGTGAAAATTTCTCTTACCTCAGATTTCATTCTCCCACACTCAGAAATCCTCTAAGCCTCCCAGCAACACCCTTGCACCTAATCCACGAAAACTGTTAGTTATGGGCTTGTTCGACTGCTTGGTTCCCTGCCCCCACTCCTGACTCCTTTACACATATACTGGCCTGGGCTGTGCAGGAGAGAACGTGGATCCTCCCTCTTGGGAACTCCCTCGCGGGCTCAGGTCTGAGGGATCCTCAGTGTACAAAACTCAATACCCCTTCTCCATTCCCATTACCACCACTCAGGTTCATGTTCCCCCAACTTCACTCCAATTACTATTACAGCTGGGCCCCCTACTTCTGGTATCTCTGTCGTCTCCCCTCTCCAGATCCATCCTGCCCGTGACTGCCAGATTAAATTTTGCCTTTCCTCCCCAGCTCACAGGATCCAGTTCAAACACCTCTACAGCCTAGGCCCATCATGCCCACCCCATGTCACTGCTACCACCTGAACGTCTCTTCTTGTCTCTCTGGTCTCCTCTGTGGCCCCAGTAGGGCACATGCATTCTTTCTGGTGCTTTTGATGTTTTCACTGACTGAAAAATCCCCTCCCCAATTCCTTTGCCCTTAATCAAATTGCACTCTTTTATTTAAGACCTATAAAAATATTTACTTCTTTTATGAATCCATTAAAGCCCACTCTGATCTCTCTCTTCTGAGCCTGTTCTGTTCTTTTCCTTCTTTTAACCAACATTTCTTAAGGACTGATTTTGTGTGCCAGGACCTACGGACACAGAGTAAAGGCTTGGGTTCCTGCCTTCAAGGGGGATGCAGTCTAATGCGGAAGACAGACATGTCACTGAAGACTTAGGATAGAATGTGCTGAGTAGTAGACTAGAGATGTATAGAGAGGGTGCATTGTGAACCCAGAAGAGGGAGATGTGGAAGGGGCTGTCTCTGGAAAGGCCTCACTGAGGAAGTGTTATTTGGGCTCAGTCTTGACATTCAAATAAGAGCTGCAGGGAGGGTGCTATCAAGCAGCATATAATCACTTAATTACATATTGCTTTGTATTTTTCTTCAATTGTTTAGAGTGCTTGTCTTGACTTCCCAGTGAGGCTAATCAGCTCAAGAGCAGGGACAGGCCTGGCACTCTCTGTTCTCCCAGAATCTAACTGCGGTGCTGGACAAACACCATGTGTTCAGAAAAGGCTTGTTGACTTGCAGCAGATAAATAATCCAAGCTTCTCTGGGATAATTGCCTAGAGGGATCCCCTACCCCTTGCTATTGCAGCCCCTAATAAGGCACTCACACCTAAGCCCTCCTCTGGCTGCTTCTCTCCTGCCATAAGGACAAGACCTCACCTGCAGACACTTGCTTAGCCGCCCCAGATCCTTTATTGACGCCTCTCATTTGACCCAAATACATTAACAACAGATTGCTGAGATACAGCCCCAACTACAGTGCCCCCCCCTTCCTCCTGGCCAGAGAGAGAACCATCGGAAGGATACAGGATTTGAGGGAGTGGGAGAAGAGTGTGTATAGGTAGAGGAAACAGAAGAGAGGCGGAGGCCCAGAGATATGGCAAGAAGAAAATGACAAGAAAGAGTTCAGGGAGTAATGGAAGAAACAAATAATAGATACAGGGACACTGTGGGACAGGAAACAAGTTAGTTGGATGAGATAGCTAGGATGATGTTCAGGGAAAAGTAGCTCATTCCTCATTAGGTGAGGGGGACCAGAGTCTGAGCACTCAGCATACAGATTCCCAGTGGGCCCTATGACAGAAAATGAGCTAGTGGCCCTGGGGGAGCTCAGGCAAGGACAGGGAAGGCAGGAGGGAGCGTGAGGAGAGCAGGTGGGGCAGGGAGATGGTTGTCATGGCAACTAATCATCATCGTCATCCTCGTCCTCCTCATCATCGTCTTCTGTGTTGATCTCGCCCGCTAGTACATCCTCCAGCCAGTCTTCCAGCTCCTCAGCGGAAGGCAGGTCCTCTTCATCATCCATCTCCATCCATATGCTGTCCGCCTAGGACATGGCACAGACAGAGGGCCGGAGCTAAGCCTGACTCAGGTCTTTGAAGCTGTCTTCCCACTCACTCAACTCTGTATATCCTTCCCTGCTTCCTCTGTCCCCTCCCTTCATGTGTCAGTGGACAGGGATGAAGGTCTAGGTTAGAATTAGTGACAGTGGGAGTAGAAAGAATGGCTGGATTGGCAACTAGAACTTCTCCCTTCAATCTTTCTTCCGTTCTCTTGTGAGCTTCCTAAACAGACCTATCATGCCCTTGATGCAAGACTGCTGGTGTCTCTTCATAGCCTAAGGAATAAAGTTAGAAACACTTCAGCATTCAAGGCTTTTCATAACCTGCTTTTCTAGCACTATCCTCAGAAATCTCTAGACTCTCAAGCCATGAGAAACTACTTGCCTTTTCCTGAACCTGATATCCATTTTCCTACTTTCGACATTTTGCATTAACTTTTCCATCAGTTTACAAATGACTTAATTTTCACTTGTAGAACAACTATATATTGTACATTCTCCACTTTGAATACTGCTCCTTTAAACCTTTCTCTGATTCTCTCAAGCAGAAATCACTTTGATTTCTGTGCCTTCCTAGCATTTTATTTGTATCTATATTACAGATTTTATCAGATCGGGCCTGGTAGTTAATGGAATGCTTGGCTCTCTAGTTAGACTGAGAATTGTATGAAAGCAAAGACTGTGGCTTATTCAATTCAACCTAACAATTTCAAAGTGTGAATGAGAAGATTTCTGCCCTCAAAAAGCTCAAAGTCTACTGGCAGAGACACACATAGTACATAAATAGCCATATGAAAGTCATGTTCTCAACGCCAAATGGGATCTGAGAGTTCACGAAAGGAATGATTCCAAGATCTTTCCAAGATCTGGAAAGACTTCACGGAGAAGAGAGGATTCGAACTAGGCCTTGAAGGATGAACAGCCAATTCTAAAAGGTGGAGATAGGTGTGTTCAGGGCACAAATTTCTCCCTCTATCCAGCCATTAGAGTGGGATGTCTGATTCCTCTGGAAAGCACTCAGCTCCTTGTTAGCAGGGCAGAGGAGAGCCAGCTATGCTGGGAAGCAGAGTTGGGGGGCAGCTGGGGGTGAGGAAAGGAAACTTACATCAGTAACATTGACAACTCCTATTTGTGGAGCTGACAAGTCGATATCAAATGTCTTCTCCCAGTACGGAACCAGCTGTAAAGAGACCATATGAAGCAACTTAATGGAGTCGATAAGCACATGAGTCCAGGAGAGGGTCAGCCCAGGGACTAAGGGGACACTATGCACCCATGGTGGGTGGGGGATGGGTCTAGCTGGAGGGCCTGAGGAAAAGGGTAGAGTTAAGCAGTTAACGGGTAGAAATTCCAAAGGGAAAGTAAGGGGAGGCTCAGCTAGCAACACCGACCCCTCCTGTCTGAGGAAACTCGATAGGAAACCCCTGTTCTGATCCTGGATCTGCTACTGTGTGACCCTGTGACTTTGGGCAAGTCACTTCTCCCTGGTCCTCAGTTTCTACATCTCTAAACTAGGTAGTTACACCTGGTAATTGCCTATTTCCTCACATTTCTGTTTATTCATTCAGTTAGCCTTTCAACAATGAGTGCTGGGTGTTGGGGATTAAGCTGGGAACAAAGCCAATCCCTGAGACATGGAAACTCTTTGCTTTGATTCTATAATTGTATACAGTCACATGCAGGGTTAATGTGACTATCTGCTCCCCTGAACACTGTTTTTCTCTAGGAGTGAGCCCTGGGCACATGAGTTCCCTGCCCAGCCTCTGCCTTTGGAGTTGTGTGGGTGATGTCTTATGTGGTTCACTTTCTATCCTGCTCCCCTTTCCCAGGCTCTCTCCATGCCCACAGTACCCTTGAGCACACAGCAGGCATAATTTCCCAGGGCCCCCAGCTGGGAGATAAGGTAGGAACTCTGAAACAAGCACCCCTTAGGACATGCCACAGTCTAGGCCCCACCTTAGGATAGCCTTGCATGAGCGGTGCCTCTTACCAGGGGGAAGTCATCAGGGTCAATCCAGATGATGCTAAGATCAGGATTTTCAGTGTTATCTTGGGCCACAGCCTTGAGAATCTCTAAGAACTCATAGCCATCTTGGAGGGAACGCAAGGGAGAAATGTGAGGCGGGGCAGAGAGGAATGGGACACAGAGGACACAGGAGTCCAAATCACTTTCCCTGCCTCCTACACTCCACATTTTTAGCCCCAGGCCACTTGCACTCTCCTAGGAATGCCACCCAGAGCAAAGACTATGCTCTAACTCTGTCTCTGCCTTCTATCACCCCACCCCCATCCAGTCCAGTATTCCTCCCTCACCTGGATCAGCTTCCTCTGCAAAAGCCACAATATGGATTCCATCCAGATCATCCTCCTGTTGTGGGGGGAGGAGGCGCTTAGCTATACTCTCTGAAATGAGAGAGCCCAGAATGGACTCTAGATCTTCCTTGAATCTAAATTTTATGGAAATTCAGTTTCTGGATAAGGTATATTGTTGTGGTGGTGACCCTTTTCCAAGTGACACTGCCCTGTTCAGCTCCAGGGCTCCATACCTCCTCTGGCATACCCTTCAGCCCCAAAGCTTGTGGCTCCTCTCTTTTCTTCTTCACTAACTTATGTGTGACAGTTCTTTAGAACAAAAACCCCCAAAGTTTGCTGGTGCGTTGTCTTTTCTACAAGTGAGGCATGAGGAATAGCAGGGTGAGATGTCTCTAGGACTTGAGTCTGCAGCTACCCATGCTCCCCCAGGGCCTGGCCCCATCCAGGGGCACTCACCCAGGTCTCATACATACTCTCAGGCTTCAGTTTCCTCAGGGTTGACCTAGAAGAGAGACAGAGTCACTTCTCAATGGGTGAGAAGGACACCCTCCCCAGAGGTCCCCACAACAGAGGCTGCCTCTGGGTCATGCCTAGGGCACAGACAGCTCGTAGCCCCAAACAAAGCCATCTGGCAAAGTCTAAGCTCTGGGCACCAGGCCCAGATCATTGCATGGTTAAAGCAGGTGGGAGAACAGAGGGTAGACAAGGGGACTACATAAGAGATTTTTGAGAGAAAGGTAAGAACTGGACATCTGGGTATTAATTTGCTCATTCACTCATTCTTTCAATAAAATCGAGTGTCTGGGATGTTCTAAGCCTTGTGCTAGGGGCTGTGTAGATAGAGTTGAATAAAGCAGACATATCCCTGCCCTGATGAACAGGACCATAATCTAGGAGCAGAGTGTTGTGAATAAGTGTGGTTTGCATCAATGAAAAGGTATTTCCAGCTGTGGAGTACTGCGAAGGAAGAGAACTATGTGTGAGTACAGGGCAGGGTTTCTCAGCCTCAGCCCTACTGACATTTGGGACCAGGTAATCCTTTCTTGGGGAGGCTATTCTGTGCACTGTAGGATGCTTAGCAGCCTCCCTGGCCTCTAACCATTTAATACCAGCAGCACTCCCCCCAACCAAAAAATGTCTCCAGACATTGCCAAATATCCCCTGAAGAGCAAAATTCTTCCCCTACCTCCCCAATACTTCCACTCCTGTTGAGAACCACGGGTGTAGGGTAACGTATAAGAAAGAACACAGGCCAGATCTGGGTTGGAATCCAGTTCTGACTCTTACCGACTATGGAACCTCTTTAACTGAGGTTGTTAAAAGGATTAAATATAATAATAGATATGGAAAGCACCTCTCAGTTCCTGGCAGACCACAGGCACTCATCACAATCAGCATCACAATGAACTATACACATTTATGGAAGACCTCCTATGTGCAGGGCTCAGGGCTAGATAGAATGCAAAATACTGTGGGAAAGGGTCAGCATATCATGAGCACTGGCACCCAGAAATGTATTATCTCCAAGCGAGAGCAGCTCCCTGGTTGGCTGAGGTTCCCCCAGCCCATGTCACAGGCCGGTGTTCCAGCCTTGCTCAGAGGGTTGCCCCTGCCCCCACCTCCTGTGCTCTTCCACGAAGTTGACAATCTCCTCTTCACTGTTGGGCTTGTCTGGGATGGTCACAGGCTCTTCCATGAAGGCTTCATAGAAATCAATCTCATTCAGCTTCAGGGTCAGCTTCTTTGCCACCTTTGGGATGGGGTTGGGGTGTGGGGAGTGGAGCAGGGCATGTGGGATCACAGTAAAAAGCAGTATTATGGAAGAGCAGGTATTAGGAAGGGAATCAGATACCCTCGGCCCTTGTCACTGTCACTGGGACATTGGAAAAGTGCACTTCTCTGGCCTTTAGTTGAACATGAGAGGAGTGGGTTAGATCATCTAAAACCTTTGGGGTGGGGGAGGCCTGAGGTG